CAAAACACTTAGGTAAAAACCAACCCCAATTCTTCTTAAATGGTTCCAAAAATTTGAAATGCAAGGAACTTTGCCAAACTGTTTTTAGATCAGCATTCTACAATTATATGAAAACCAGAGATATAACACCAAAAAAAGAAAACCACACACCCATGTCTTTGATAAACATAAAGACAAAAATTCTCAACAACATATTAATAAACTGAATTCAACTGCATATTAAAAGATCCCATACCCTGATCATTATGTTACCATACTGGAGACAGAGATGGAGCTCACTCAAGAACTGGAAGTCTTATTGTTTGGGAAACAAATTTAGAAAGAACTTTCAAAAATCTCTACCACCCAACTATATTACATATGGAGAGATTAAGCCAAGCCCATCTAGAAGCATATTGAAATGAAATAGAATCAGAAAGAAATATATAGACATCTAATACTTGGAGAAGCTAGCACAAGGAAGAAGTCAGACATTTTGGATTGATATAGGAATAAGCAAGTCCTATATGATATTTCCCTCCCTAGCAGATGTATGTATACATACATTTCACAAGTAAATGGCAAGGTTTGTGTTATTTAGAGATAATTAATTATTTAAAGAGGAAATCCTATATTCTCCAAATTCTACCAACATTTAAAAAAATTATTTCACCACATAACTTTTAGGTGGAACACTGTCTACAAACATTTCTTATTAAGAAGTCAAAACTCTTTTCATTTATGTCCAGTGGGAATCTAGAGAAATAAAAAATCTTTCAGAATCTTTAGGAAGAATCCATGCATGCAGACACAAGTATAATCCATTCACCTAGTCAGGAAATATATTTTGAGCAGCTATGTGATAGGCAGCATTGTAGGTCTGAGGAACACAACAGGGAACAAAGCAGAAATAATTTTTTTCTCAAAAATAATTTTGAACCACATTGGAGCTCACATTTTTTTCCTGGTCAAAGTTGCAAAAGGAATTTTCTAAGAAGTGTCTATTCAAGGGATCACAGTATAAAGTTTCAGGTTCATTACTACTATTTTCTCTAGCTAGCAGCCCTAGTACACAAATATTAAGGAAGAAAGAAAAGCCATATCTCACCCATCTAAACACACAGATTGATTCCTGAATATGTAACAAAAGAGGCAGTATTTCAGGAATGTCACACCAAAACATAAATTCAACCATTAACAACTAATAAGTGACATTAAACTAACGGTTGTTCTTTCTACACTTCAGAAAATGGAGTCTATGATTGTGTTCCCTTGTGAAGAAATACCATAAGGTAAGAGGTATTATCTAAGTTCCATTTCCAGATACAGGGTCAGTTTCAATCTTGTCTCAGTAAAAGAGATAAGCAACCTGGGCAGTCTGCAGAGATCTCACATGGATGTAAAAATGAAAAAGTGAAAGGTCAAGATCTTTCCAGTTGACTCTGTCATTTAGCTTAATTAATGGAAATAAAAATTTGATTTAAAACATAGAATGCCTAAAGATGCATCTAATTTGCTTAGAACTTTGTTATTATAAAGAGCAAAAATGAAAGAGCCCATTTCTCTATGATGTTCATTAGTTGGTCTGCATTTGGGGCTTTAATCTCTGATATCTGTAGTCATCACTGGTCTCTCTTCCCTTTCTGCTTCTTCATCTTAAGCTATTGTTGTCTTAAAATTATAAAGAAAATCTACAAGAAAGTAGAGAGGTGGGAGGTGATGGAGACCACTTTAAAACAGGGCAAATCATATTAAAAAAAGATAAGAGTCCAGCTGTATTATCAAAAGCCATGTCGGGAGTGGTTGAAGCTGGAAAGTAATTATGCATGCAGGATAAAGCCAGCCCGAGAACACGGGAGCTCCTCAAAGCATGTAAACAAGCCCTTGTAGATTGTTAGCTGATTGCTGGGCAGAGAGGCTGAAATTAATCAACTTCTCGAGGGTATAAAATAAACTCTCTACTGTTTTTGCACAGTTCCCCTTCTCCGGTGCGGAGAGAGGGGACCTCCACCTGACCCCAGCTTTGTGTCTCTTGTCTGTTTTTTCTTCATTCTTGCCTTTGTTTCTTCTTGGAGTACAGCAAGAACCCAATGACGGATCCTTACAGAACTACACAAACTTTTCTTTGCAACCTGCAGTAATATTTAAGACCTCATTAAACCATGAAAGTGAACTCTTTAACGTAAATTTCAAATTCTATTTGTGGAGGGAGAAAGCAGCTGGTTCTCGTACTTCACATAAACTAAATCACTTTTCTAGCTTCAAAGTCAGAATAATCTGACTTTATTTAAACTTTTTTATATGGAATAGTTCAGAAACATCAAAAGTGCTGTAGGAAACTGTAAGTGCTGTAAAAGTGCTGTAAGAAATACTCCAAATCTATCACTTGGTGAAAAAAAAATAAACATGACAAAAATAATCAAATATTTGTATCTTTTTGTCCTTCTCTGGGTACTTTTCTCTTCCCTCAATATGAACAGTATTCTAACATCACAATTGTTTGTATTTTTACATCTGTACATACCTAGTAAAATGATATTAGTTTCAAATGTTTTTCAACCATTAAAATGATATAATAGCACTATATCTCTCTTCAGCTTTTTTTTTCTTTCAACAAAATATTTTGGAGCTATTTGACATTGAGCCAGTTTGATCTCTAATAGTGGAACTAATTTATATAACTACATCCTTCTTTATATATTTAAAATATCTTCTGGTTATTTAATTAATATGTTCATATTTAATAGGAAATGAAAGGGAATGTGAGTTAAAAATAATACATCAAACATTTCCTTCATCTTTTCTTTGTTGATTTCACTTATTTGTGGGTTTGGAAGGGATAAAAATGACAAAGGAGTGTTGGTCATCTCCACTGAAAACTAGTTTCTTGGGTTGGGGATGTAGCTCAGGAGCACAACGCCTGCCTGGCAGTGCAAGGTCTTAAGTTCAATTCCTGGTACCAAACAAAACAAAACAAGACAAACCTAGTTTCTTGCCAATTTTGGGCTTAGATTCTCCATGATTTTTTCTCAATATTGAAATAAAACAAAATCACCCCAAAATAACCATGAATCCTGCAATGGATAGTGATACTGTAATTTCTGATCTTCCTTATTTTCCCTTATCTATGGTTCTCAAACTTGTTTTTTCTTAATAGATCACCTTTTGAATCAATATAGATTCCACAGACATAGAAATATAGTTTCTCATTTTTAGCACGTTGTTCTTTATGTGTTCATCAAATGGATCTTTAGATGTCTTCATCTTCCTCACATGCAAAAACATTGCTACTACCCATATCCTTTAAGATAATTTTTTTTACCTGATATTTAGAATGATTTGAAATTTTTATAAGAAAATGTTAATCTATAAAAGTGAACCATTTATTCCAAGTATAAGAACAAAATAAAATCAAAATAGCTTTGGGTAAAACTGGCACATTTGGAAGCACTTAGCTATGTAAAAGAAATATTAAACTTGGAAGCTCAAATATCTCTGACTTTGGGCTTCTTTGGCTCTGCATCCATCATGAAAACTGCTCCCACTCCATCACTAGCCATAAGAAGCATTATATTCTAATGTTTGCATTGTGTTTGTGTTACTTCTGAGCTACTCATCAAAACCTTAATGTTGTGGTTTTAACATAATTTTCATAGAAACATTAAGGACAGATGTACAAGCCAATCAATAGAAAAAATATGTAAGTACAGCAATTAAATCTACATAAATAAGAGTAGTCTACATTTTTTCTGATTATCACAAAAGAAACATAAAAGCATTTTTTACTCATCAGTATAGAAATGCTTTGAAATAAAAACAAAATTATCATCTCTACATGCTTTTTTAAAAATCTCACATAATTCAATAATATTAATAGAAATTATTGTAACAACTATATGGAACTTACATGGTAAAATGTAACAAGCTTGAATTTAATTTTTGTCTACTTAAATATAAAAAAGATGGTTTCATTGTCATGAATCATGTTTCAAATGTTAAAACTGTTGAGGGTTTGTGTGTGCAACAGTATAATTTGTCTAGAGAACAGAAATATTTTTGGCTATGAGGAAATATTTTTGGATGCTCTGTAAAATATTTTTAATAATACCTTTTTCTATATCACAATTTCATATAGTCAAAGAATTTTAGAAGTGAAAGAATCCTTCAAGAATAAGTCCACCTATTTTAGGGATCTGATAGACTATGGAACAGTTGGTTGAGAACAGAAAAACTCTTTTATTTTACTTATTTCTAGTTCTTTGGTACCTCTTGTATTGTGCTTGTAAAGTGAAACAAGATCAAAACACCTGATAATTAATTTTTACTAGTTAATCATAATTCTAATAAGACCTTGGATCCCAGGCATAAAAGCATATTTATTCAGCAGTAGTCAAAGAGCGTTCAATGATTGATTAATTTTTAAAATTGTTGTTAACCATAAATTCAATTGCTTCATTTTGCATGTTCCTTCTTGGTACAAATGGTAAGAATGGTGAGACACAGTGGCTCATAATAAGTAACCAAAACCTCGGGGCAGGAATAAGACATACTTTCAGGTAAACAGATTCCTTGGTATTTTCTATTGCCAACAAAAATAACCAGCTGTATTTAATTCTAGAGTCACATGCCAATCAAATGATGCCTTTGAAAAAACATGTTTTCAGACAAATTGTGGGCAGCCTCTTGACACCTGGCATTCTCATGGCATTTGTCTTGCTTCACACCCAGCTGGCAAACACAAGTAATGCTTATATATCATATACCAACAGGCTCATCAGACTTATCATAAGAAGTAATATTTCAACAGATTGTATTGTCATTTCTTCCATGCATTATAGATAGTCTGACATCCAGGTGTGGTGGCGCATGCCTGTAATCCTAGCACTCAGGAGGCTGAGGCAAGAGGATTGCCTCAAGTTCAAGGCCAGCCTGGGCTACCTAGTGAATTGAAGGCCAGTCTGAACTACATAGCAAGACCCTGTCTCAAGAAAATGAAATAAAAGTAAGTAGACTGAGAAAATTTCCTTTATTATAAATTGAGCAATTGCAATTAAAACTTCTTCATGCAACATACATATATAACTACTGAAGACATTTGGCTAAAAGAGTGACTTTATTTATAACTAATGTGAAGTCTTTAGATTGGCCATTTGTAATTCCAATAATAAGTGGTAAAATGTTTATATACAATACCTATAAAATAGATTTCTATACACTTTAAATATTGAACTTATAGCTACAGTATCATGAATTTTTGTTTTTAAAAGTCCAACCTTATTGAGGTATACTTTACATCAATTAGATATGCCCACTATGTGTACTGTGTGATGAATTTTGGCAAATGTGAACATTTGAGTAGTATTACCCATTACCCAAATTTAGATGCGAAACATGGCCATTACACCGCCAGGCTCCTTCCTGTTCCTTTGCAGTCCACTACATACAACCCCTTCTCAGTCTCTGGCAAACTGATATGCTTTCCATCACTGTAGATACATCACTTTCCATCACTGTAGATATGTCACTAGAAAACAAAACAAGAAAAACCTCAAGAACATCCAGAAAAAAATACACTTTATATACCAGAAAACAGACAAATTTAATATATCTTCTCATCAGGAAAAAGCAAAAAAATGACATCTGGAAGTTTTAAAAGAAAAGACTCACACTAGAAAATTTTACATTCTGCAAATATGTCCTTCAAGAACAAGGTCAAAATAAAGACATTTTGGATAAGTGAAAGCTAAGCAAATCCTCTACCAGCAAACCGCACAACAAAATGTTAAAGGATGGTCATGAGGTCAAAGAGAAATGAAACACTGAGGAGACGAATCTACAAGAAGGAATGAAATAATCAGAAATCATAAATAAATGGTTAAATATAAAGCACTACATTTGTTTTTTTCTCATAAAGTACTTAAAAATGCAGGTAATACTTAGAGTAAAAATAGTAATATAAACACAGAAATCTACAAGTACAGAAAATTAAAAGATATGGCAAATGTGAGTATTTGAGTAAAGAATGAGAAGGCAAAGAAATAGAATTATGTTGTTGCAAGTTCATTTTACTTGCAAAGTAAGAATGTCATATTGAAAAGTAGAAAGTAAGAAGGTTAAATGTTATTTGTGAAGTATGAAGAAGAACAACTTTAAATAAATTGTGGTAAGGATGCATATAGTTAGCCATTGATAAATCAATAAAAATATAATAAAAAGAGGTATACTTAAGAGGCCACTAGAAGAAATAAAAATGGAATATTAAAAATAAATAAACCAAAAAGAATATATGAAAGGAACAGACAAATTCAATTATATCAATAACTATGCTAAATATAAATGAACTAATAACATTTATCAAACAACAGAAATTGTCAGGATGAATTGTTTTAGAAAAAAGTAAAACAACTTTTTATGTATAAGAGGTGTATTTTTAGTATAAAGACATAGACTGAAATTAGCAGATAGGCTAGACATAATATACAAACAGTAAATGCAGGGAGGGTGGAGTGGCTTTATTAATATTAGACAAAGTAGACTTTGTGACAAAGTATTTTACACAATGATAAAAGCAGCTATCTACTTATAAGACAAAACAAATCAAATTAAAACTTATTAAGTAAAAGTAACAGGAGTAAAAAGATATTCAAACCCACATTCATGATTAGAGATTTAGAAAACCTTCTTTCAGAATAACTAGACGAAAATGAAGCTTAACAAGTATAAAACCTAAACAGCATTCTCAGCCATCTTTCCTAATTCCTTTACAAACTCTAATCCGAAACCTCAAAACTCCACGTGAAATGTTGCCAGAATATACCATACACTGGCCCATAAAATAAATCCCAGTATGTTTCACTAAATTACTTCAGAATGTTTACTGTCCTCAACTGAATTGAATTAAAAGTAAAAAAGATACAGGGGAAATAGAATTTGAAATTAAATAATACGCACTGAGTCAAGGATATCACAAGAGCAATGAAAAAGAATTAGCCAAACAGTAACAAAAACATAATATGTTTAAGTTTGTATTTATGGTTCTTAGATAAAAATTTTCAGGTCTTATTGTCTACCGTGAAGAAGGAGAAAACTTAAAAATCAATGATTTAAGATTTGACTTTAAGAAGCAAAAAAGTAAATTGAAAGAAAATGGTAAAATAAAAGTAGAAAACAAGAAATAATAAAGATAAGAGCAGAATCCCATAATATAAAAGACAAATAAACAATATGTAAAGTTAACAGAGGTATAGTTAGGTCTTTGAAAAAAATAATAAAAATAATAATTTCTCATCAAGAATAACCAAAAAGATGAAAGATAAAAATAACATGCACTGCTTTAGCAATAATTGAGGAGATGCCACACATCTTTTTACACACCTTAGAACATTCAGAAACAAAGATTTTATGCAAATAATTTTGACAACTTAGCTGAAAAAGATATTTTTCAAAATTCATAAATGACACAAACATGAGAGGAAATAAATATCAGATTATCTTTATATCTATTAAGACATTGAATTTGTAATAAAAATTGTCTCATAAGGATAATTTATAGGAATAAATAGTTTCATTTGCTAACTCAATCAAACATTAAGGAAGGGGGATGGGGATTTAGCTCAGTGGCAAAGCGCCTGCCTGGCAAGCACAAGGTCGTGAGTTCGGTTCCTGGTACCGGAGAAAAACGAAAACAAAAACAAACAAAAAAAAATTAAGGAAGAATTGACAACAATCCTCTACAAATAATTTTTTAGAAAAGAGACAAAAGCAGAACACTTCAGAACTTTTTTTACAAAGTTAGTATTACTCAGATATCTGAACCAAAGATATTGCAAGCAATGAAAATTATGAATTAATGTTCCTTATGAATATAAACATAAAAATCCTTAGAGCATTAGCAAATTAATTCCATAATATATAAAAGTTTAATATAATGCACAATGTGAGGGTAACAAGAGAAATTCAATTAATGTAATGCACTATATTAAGAGAATAAAAGAAGGAAAATGATATGATTATCGTGGTCGACTCAGACAAAATTAAAAACTATGAAACACTTAGGAAAGAAACTAAATGAGGTAAAGTTAAATAGTGGCTGACTCTGTTCATCCACTGGAAGATTTGTGTCTTATTTAAGAAATCTTTGCATACATCATTTCATATGAAAATAGTCGAGTCTTCTCCATATAGTATAAAATACAGAAATAAATTCAGTGTGGGTTACAATAAATTCTGAATATCAGAAATTTACAAATTAGTTTTTACTTTGTTTGTCCAGCTTACAAACTAGAGGCATTAACTGATAAGTTTGAAGAAAAATAAAAATTAAATTGCTAAGTTTGTTTCATCTCTGAACTCTTTACATAGCTAAAACCTATAGTTTTGTCACAATAGCATATTAGAAGCAACCAAGTAGTTTGTGAAATATTTAATCATTCTCTTTTTCTGCTAAAATCAGAGCTTTAAAACAGAGCCTGTGTACAGGTATTGGGTACAGGTAGTTTATTTTGAGAAGAGAATCCAGGTAATAGCAGTAAGAAATGAAAAAACTGAAACAACGAAGGAAGAGAAACAAGTCCAAGGACACCAGTGTTGAAAATTACCCTTCTAAAACTCTCTGAGGCTCCATGTAGATCAAGCTGCAAAACTGCCTGCCTGAGACGAGGAGGAGAGGAAAATTGATGCATTAGCCGCAGTCCAGCACAGGTCAAGAGTGATCCACTCAAGTGTGTTGAATTCTTTGCCAGTCAATTTTACACTTGCATGAGAATGGCTGAGCCAGCTTATAAGTGGCCTGAGTACAGTTGCTGGCTGCAGCAAGAGCCTGACCACCATGAGTTGAGAATGTGACAAGGAAAGGACAAGGAAAATGTAAAGATGTCTGGAAGATATTGAGTTTCCAGCAAATCTCAAAACACCAGAAAAACCTAAGAAAGGGAGGTAGATAATTTGTACCATAATTTGACACTTGCTTAGGATTGTTTGGGAATTAGATGACTGCTTAAAACACTGCCTAGTCTTATACATATAAACTGTGCAGGCAGCCATTAAATTTGAATTAAAAATATGTATTTCTTACATAAAATATTACTTTTTTACCAAGAGTTGCCCCATGATAATCACTACAGACCGTCCTCCTTAATGGGAGGAAAATTCACATCCAAAAGTTGTCTTGGTGCCCTGTATTTATTGTTATTAATAGCAAGATTTCCCTTGACGTGTCTTTGAACTAAATTTAGGCTTTTGTGTCCACAGGAAACTTTGACACAAGTACTTAAGAAAAATGAGCTAGAAAAAGTCCTGAAACTTACAAGAAATCCTCTCACAGTTGTCAAACTTCCTACCTTAGAAGTTTAAATCCATTAAAAAATAGAGCTGTAAAATATCATGTTGCATAGAAAGTCAGATCAAATTCTAGGTCTTTAAAAATATTTGAAAAGAACCTAAAAATTACTTTGTGTCTTGCAAATGTAGAATGACCTTTGATTGTGTAATAAAAGGAATTATAGCATTTCTCTTATTTGAACTTACATGATAATTTCAATCTACAATATTGACTCCTAAGTACTTGCTACACTTATTTCATTATAAGTTTTTCTTTTGTTAGAGGTTGAAGTACTTATTTCTATTTGAGACTGTGCCTCTTCCCACTAATTTTCTTTTTCTCACTCTCTAAGTCCAATCTCATAACACAAAGCAGTTTTGCTTTTCCTTTAAAATGCATTATTGGACAAAAGAGAAGGGGACGAAGAGGTGGAGGGTTGGGGGAGTGAGGGAGAGGGACAAGATAAAAAACAATTTTATATATATATATATCGACCTTCCATGATGAATGTAAGCATATGCACTGCAAACATGTAGAAAAAAATGCTTTGTTTAGCAAAACTGTATGATTCTGGTCCCTGTACAAGGCATAGGTGTACCACTTTTATCTGTGCATTGGTGGACCAGGTGATGAAGAGTATCCACAGCAAATGAACTGTGCCTTTGCAACCTTGGACTCACTTTATCTCCCTGTTAGTGATGTAATAGCAGACCCTGATGTGGCACTAATGGGTATGTGTGTTGGTGACTTTCTCTTGAGAATCCTGCCTTGAGATTTGGTGTCAAGATCTTCATGTGGGTGATGATGGAATCTGTAGTACTCAAGATTTCTTCAAGGTGATTGGCTTCTTGAAGCCAGAGTTACTTGTATGGCAGTATCTAATTTAACATTTCTTTGTTTTTGCAATGTAGCATATGAAAAATATTTCTACTTTCACCCATTTATCAGAAAACACTATGGAAAGATGAAGCAGAGATGAGACTAATGCTTCTAAAAGCCAAGGAACATCAAAGACTGCCAGCAAATCATCTGAAACCAGACATGAGGCATGAAACACATTCTCCCTCACAGCCAGAAGAAGGAACCAGTTTCCCTTGATCTTAGACTTCTAGCCTCCGCAGCTGCGGGATATTGCATTTGTATTGTTGAAGTCTCCTCATTCGTGATACTTTGTTAAGGCGGTCCTAGCAAATTAAAATAGTGCT